GAGGAGAGTAATCACCTTCTTCTAGGATTTAGTGCTGAACAAGCAGTTGTCCTGGTGGTTTAAAGAGAAAAATACAGTGCAATTAGGTTTACAGTGTCAACTGGACCCAGCTGGACTCTGTAACCATGCAGAACATACACCTTGCACACTCTCACGCTCTCATGAAGGAGATCTTACCTTCCAAGCAGGAAGAGGATGATAGGATGATTTGGATATCTACAAAAGATGGCCACTGTCCAGCAGTGAAATAGCAGGCTATTGTCCTTTAGTTACTGCAGTCGGAGGAACACCTGCACACATCAGCGATAATAACATGACAAGTTCAGGGGGTACCACTGGGCACTAAAAAAGGAAGGACTTGAGAAGAACAAGCTGGCAACTCACAAAGTTAAGAATGGCATAGAGAAATTCCCTTTATGACATTGACTGTTTAATAACATTGTTTTCTTTCCTCCCTACGTCGTACCCCTCAGCACATTTATTAGCCCTTTCCTCCGTGGTCTCTTACATTTCTGCAAATCTTCCGAACAGAGGTATTGACAGCCCTACCCACTAAAGGCCGATACTGCTTCAGCCCAAAATATTCCCACAAATTTTGATCCCCTAAGGAGTACAGCTGCTGCTTTTTAGAACTACTGATTTGGTGTTTGCTCTTTCATGGAACTCTGCCTTCTTTGTATCTCTCTCCTCTAACATGGCACCTCTAGTAGACTTGGTGCTCAGCATATGTCTGCTGATCTTGAGTGAAATCTGTGCTTCCTCTTCCTTAGGTTATGTTGCAGTTCAGAAAAAAAGATTTAATTGTATCTACTGGATATCCTGACCACTTTTCTTGGAACTTGACAAGTAGACTGTAGAATGTATATGTAAGAGAAAAAGTCAAGGATATTTGAGTCAAGACCACTGTAAAGTGAAAGAACAAAGTTGGAGGTACTTGTCTTATACTGGTTCCATATGCCAATACTTGTCTTACGCGATAGTAAATAATTGCAGTCTGGTGTTGGTATAGCGACAGAGGAAGAGATCAGTGAGACAGAATATAGAGTTCAGAAATGGAGCCTCGTACAGCAGGGTGGATAGGTGTTCACCAAATGATTTCCCTTCTCTCCTAGGCATAAAGTGAACTTACGTTTCCCAGCCAGTGGACTTATGGCCGAAGTGATTCACTCCACTTCTAGGCCTGACCCATAAATCCTTCCATGAACAATTTATTTTCTCCCCAGCTGCATGTGACTGTTGAAAGATGCAGGAGAGAGCAGGAGCATGAGATGGAAGGAGCCAGAGTCCCTGAGTGGAGCAGAGCTCCCCAGGACAGCAGATCATCCGGATTACCTGTGTGAGGTGATTCATGATTGAGAGATAAATGACTGAAATTTGGGGGCTGTTAGCTTACTGAATAATCAGGCCTGTATGGAAGGCTGACCCACAACCGCTGGCAGTGAAGGCACTGCAGGAGAGGTGGACAGTCCAGTGTACAGGGCTGGGACAGTTGGCTGTCTGTATAGAAACAGCAGCAGCAAATTCAGTCCCTACTCCATGCTCCATCCCAGATGCACTGATCTAAAGTGAAAAATAAAGTTTTAAGCCATTTAGAAGAATGCACAGAAGAACATCTTTATTATCTCAGGTGGAGACAGAAAAGCTAAGATGTATAAGGTATCAATCAAGTGGAGAAAGACTGAGAAAAATCAACTGCCTTAAAATGAAAGACTCCTGAATAAAGACACTGTAACTGGGGGGGGGGGGGGTGGGGGGGCAACTCATAGCCTAGGAGAATATTTAAAATATATACCAATAAAGGATCAGTATCCAGAATATTTAAAAAAAAAAAAAAAAACCTCCTCTATGTCAATTAGAAAGGCAAAATAGAAAAAATGGGCAGAGGTTATGAGCAGGCATCTTATAGAAGAAAAAATATGAATAGCTAATAACTATATGAAAAACATGTTCCAACTCCCTGCCTGCCTGAGACCAATAAATTAAAACCAATTTCATTAACTAATCAAAGTCTAACAGTCATGACCTGTGATGAGTGTGAATTGCAACAAGCAATTGGAAAGCCGTTTTGAACATCTGGGAAAGTTAAATATGCTTATGCCCTGTTTTCTAACAGTTTCAGCCATGCTGGAACCAGTGATGTTCAGTATCTCTCAGGCATGGTGGTCCCTTCTGTTCTTATTCTCGCCTTTTCCTTTGCCTCAGGTAGTTCAACACATGTTTGAAGGACAATCATACTGTATCTCTTTAGTCTTACATCCTGTAGTGGCTACCAGATTTATTTCAGTCCTTTCCTTCCTTCTCACTTAGAGCAGCCCATCTGATATCAATCTCTGGATACTTTGCAAAGTCCTATGAAAAACTGATTTGCCGTAAAGACCGGCCACTGAATTGAAAACTAACCTGTGTGTGTTCCTAACACGGGAGAGCCTAGTATGCACCAGACACCATGCTGTTTTCTTGTGTGAACGCATGGCATTAACATTTAAAACTCCACTTACATGAGCTCTTACACTTCCCACGATAGCTCTGTGTGGTCCATGCTCCGTGTCCCCACTTGCCAATGAAGAAACAGGTGCAGAGAGGTGAAGGCGAAGGAGGTGGTATCCACACTCTGGTTGTTCTGCTTCCCGGTCTGCACCATTTACCCGGGTGCTAACCTGGGTGCTTCAGGCCAGATCCAGGCTGGTTCACAGTGAGGGGACTGGATTAGACACATGAAGCACTTCCACCGACTGAATCCTCTGGAACATTTTCTGGGCTCACACAAGCCGTTTGTTTATTTCCATTTGTTTTCTTCCTCTTATCAAGCAGTGGTTTAATGTTGCCTGCATTGTGACGTACCCAGAGCATTTATAGAATTTAGCAGCAATTCCCAAATTCTGAGTACTTTTTCATTGACTAAAAAATGAGTCTTTAATCACTGGCTGACTTAAGCTGGTTTTCAAAGAGTGATACTATTAACTGCCAGCTGTATCCCACAATGATGGATAAGAATAGTGCTCTATTTTATTTTACGTTCTTTTCTTTTTTGTTAATTCAGACCATGCTCAGAGGAGAGTATATCACCCACATAGATTCCTTGACACTTTGTACTTCAAACAGATGAATTACTTCCCAGCCTGGAAAGTCGCCAAATCTCTAAATTGGCATGTTCTCTGAATAATAAAATTCACGTAAGAGGATGATGCCAGGTGGAAGAGGATTTGATAAAAGGGCATTTGAACTTTACAAATGACACAAAATATTTCCCTTCTTAAGAAACTTTAATAAGTAAAAAAGACTCTGTGTGAAACTTTTTATGTTCAATTCCGCTTCCACTACACATTTTAGTGATAGATTATTCTGGCTGTACATCAGCAGTAGGCTAAGCAGTAGATAATTCCAGCTGAAATGTATCTAGTGGCTGAGCCCCCTCCTTCCATCTGAATGTCCTACCTCCAGACACTCTTTCTAGAATTGGACCCGTGAGCCCCTTGTATGGTTCAGAAGCTAAGACTCCTTGCTTCGTAGGTGTGTGGCATCCCTTTTCCTGACGAGGTTTTTGGATCAATCATGTGCTTTTTTTATCTGATATTCAGGATACAGTGCAGATCCTTTTGGTGAAGTTTCAATGCATTTGTTGTTTGCATAGATCAAAAGCATTCTCCTAGCCCAGTTTAGAACTATTTTAAACCTTGCACCAACCTTAAAAGAACCATAGGACGTACGTTTTGTGCTGGGAAATGGCACATTCTTTATTTTTCCTTCCTAGATACACTTTTCTTTAGAAACAAAACAAATCTCACCAATTTTAAACAGACTTTCAGGTCTTCAGAATTTCTTACTCTAAGTGGATGCATAAAATTCCTGGATGTTTTGAACACTAAAGCCATTTGAATAATGTTATCATGCTTATGCAGGCTCTATCTAAATAGAATGTTATTCCTATCCTTTTAAGATGATGAAAACAAAAAAATTTAATCTTTCGCGAAAATTCTGTATACTTCTTCCAGCTGTCATTGCGTATTTTCCACGGTAGATGGTCACGTTTCTAACTGGATAGTTTTAATTCCAAAGGAGCAATAGTTCCATTCAGGCTCTATTTAGTGGATTAGGGCTCATAGCCATACTCAGAGGTGTGTTTAAAGGACTGATGCTTTCCCAAGGAATAAATGGTTCTGTCATTGTCTTTAAGAGATTACAGATGTATAAACCATAGTAGTTTGGGGAAGATCTAGAAAAAAACTTGGGACCACCACCACCTTGCATATTTAAACTTGACCCATGTCCCAATAAGCCGTATGTTCACAATGTCAGATCAGTCATTTATAAACAAACTGTCCTACAGACAAAAAAATCTACATATTTTTGTATTGAATGATAAACTGAAATTATCAATAAGCACCTTCTGCCTTTGCAGTAAACTAGGGTCTCATTCAGGGGCTTTGTATTTCGGTGAGGCCTCAGCTTTCTAGAAAAAAAAGCTTTGTGGGTTTCGAGGAGATTCTCTGTCCCCACAGTCCTCACCCCTCTATCTTCACCCCAAGGTAAAATAACTTGGGTAGAAGGGAGTTCTGCATAAGCTCCTTGGATCAGCCATGCATGTACGTGTCAATTCTTACTCTCACCTCTCCTGGGTCACTCACACTGGTTTTCAAAAAAAGGATTACTCATCCTCTGTGAGTTACCAAATAAACACGTATCATATACACATTATACAGTTATACATCTGCATAAGCAAATTATGTGTGTGTGCGCACACAGGTGTACAATCTTCAAAGGCTGCCCTTTTATGGAGTCCCTCGCCCAGAGGATTTGAATGACAGACTTTCCTCAGTGACTAAAGGGAGCTCTTTTCCACATCTGGTCCCAGAGAAAGGCTTTTCAAGGCCACTCACAAACCGTCAGGTCAAATTCTGAAGCAGATGACGGCATTCCGGTTGGTTGGCAGTCACAAATGGCAAGGAGGGCCCATCCATTTTTCATGAAGTTATAATTAACACCCTGTCTGCCTCCCACAGGGTCAACCTTCGGGAATGAAGACCAGCCGGCTCTGAAGGCGGCTCTGCCTTCCAAAGACACACCCAAGGGGGCCAGCCGGGCGGCCCCTCCTGCACCCTCCAGTGTGACAACGCCCCGCAGGAGTTTGCTCCCGGCGCCCAAATCCACATCTGTACCCGCTGGTAAGACCATATGAGCCTTGGAGAAGCTCCATAGCCAAGTGCCTTTTCTGCATTAAAAAGTCTTTTCAAACCCTCGTGTCCATCAGTTATGTAGATGGGATGGCAGATGAGTTTCCAGGGGCATTTAAAGTCAGTAATAACAATGATACCACTGTTTTCAAGGTACTTTCATGCATTCAGAAGTTTAAATTCTCACAGCTACCTCTCACTTCTCCCCCGACTCTTAACCCATGAGTCACACAGTTTTGATTCGGGGGGAGGGGGGCGGAGAACAACAAAAAACAAGAATCAAGCTGTGTTAAGCTGATTGGTGTTTGGCTCTGGAGGCCCATTGGACCAAATGTCTGACTGCTCCTCCGGGAGTGAGGCATGGCACCCTACAGGAGCTGCTGCTTCTAGAAGCTTCTAGAAGGATCTGGGAGCTCCCTTCCCCTTCTGGCTCCAGGCTCACACCACCGAAGTTGGAATCCAAACAAATATACCCCCGCAAACTTTTTTTTGGAAGATAACTGAGAAAATGGGAATATAGTACTAATATTTTAAGCTTGATGTGGTCATTGTGGTTATTTGTTCACAAGGGTCCTATTTTAGCCATTGACACATGAAATGATATGCTGTCTGGGATTTGCTTCAGTGTAACTTGGGATGATAGCAGGTGGGAGTCTGTGTGTTTACCAAAGAGGAAGCCCCATTGACCACACATTGCTCACTGTTGAAGCTGGTTAATAGAATATATTAAACTAACTAGACTCTCTCTCTACTTTAGTATATCCTTAAAGTGTTGTGTAATAATACAATAAAATGTGTCGACAGAGAGGCTATTTTAGTTGAAGGAGGGTTAAATGGAAATCAAGTATGTCACGTATGGTAGCAACAGTATTTAGGCCCATAAAACTTTCATTATTGGGCTACCTGGGTGGCTCAGTTAGTTAAGCATCTGACTCTTGATTTCAGGTCTGGTCATGATCTCACCATTCATGGGATCGAGCCCTGCATCTGGCTCTGTGGCACGGAGCCTCCTTGCGATTCTCTCTCTCCCTCTGTCTGTGCTCCTACTCTGCTCATGTGCGTGCGCTCTCTCTCTCTCCCTCTGTCTCTCAAAATAAATAAAATTTTTTTAAATTTTTATTATTTTTTCAAATATTTCAGCTTCATAAGGATTTTCTTAAAGCCATGTGATCTTGATAACAGGAATTCTCTTCCACTTTGTAATACTTGATAAAACATTTTAATGTACTGGATCTAATTTGGTCCCCACAGAAACCCTGAGAGGCAGGCAGAAAGATGTTCTTTCACAAAGGAGAGAAGGACAGACCACAACTCAGGGTGTGACACACTTGTCCAAGGTCATCTGATGGCATCAGAAAATAAATGTGTTGTGTATGTTTCTAGTGCTTTTTCCATAATAGTATGACTATTCAGATGGGGGGGAGGGTATCAGAATTCATCTGTCATCCACAGTATGTCTATTAACATCAAGTTCCGTGTTACCCACAAGGTAGTGGTAACAGAATAGCACCAAGGGCTTCTTGCCTCAGGCTAGGTCCTCCTTGAGATGGTCTGGTACAGAGTTCAGCTGGTGAGGCCATGACTTCTATGTGGGCTTTTGTTACTCCGGGCTCGTAGCTCAGCATACCGATACATGATCTGCAGGTTTTCCTTAAAATTCTAAATAATGCCTTTAAGAGAAGTAGGAGACTTTTCATAGAAGCTGAAATCATTGTGTGTGTGAAAACACTCACCTAGCCCTCCCCGAATGGAGACATGTGTGTGATTTTTTTCCAGAGGCAAAATTTAAGTCTGTGCTTCCTCGGTTTCTTCTTATGATAAGCCATCGCTTTCTTTGTCAACAATTCAAGTATACTTTCTTTCAAGCTGACCTACAGGGCATCCAGTAGATTTACTGGACCTGTTCTTCTAAGTTAAAAATGTTATGATGATGTGATAGTTGCTTTCTTCCCTATTCCAGACCAAAGTACATTGTATCGTGGCTCTTCCCTTACCAGTTCACTTACTGGGCTACTGAGTATCTGTTCTGGAGGTAGAATGGTCTGGAGATAGAAAAATGAGTGAGACACAGTTCCTGTCCCAGAAATGTTCACAGGCTGGTGGTAGAGAAGCACAAAGAAATAATTGCAGAAACAGTGTTATAACGAGTTATTATTCTACAGTCTAATGTGGATCATCTTCCTTGGCCTCAGCCAGCCTCATGGGGTGGTTCATGTTGGAGTGCTAGCTGGTCTAAGATATGTTCTGTCATAGCACATCTGGGAGGCTCAATCGGTTGAGCATGCAACTCTTGATTTCAGGTCATGATCCCAAGGTTGTGGGATTGAGCCCCATGTCAGGCTCCATGCTGAGTGTGGAACCTGCTTAAGATTCTCTCTCTCCCCCTCTACCCCTCTCCCCAGCTCGTGCCCTCTCCCTCTCTAAAATAAAAAATTAAAAAGGAAAGAAAAAGATATGTTCTTTCCTTTCCCCATCCATCAAGAATACGAGATCAGTGAGGGAGAAGCCATACTTGCTTTGTTGCCCAGCTAGGGTAAGGAGCCCACACACATTGCTTAAAATCCCAGAGAAAATGGAATCGAGATGTCAGGGAAAGGTATGGTTCAGGAAAATGAAGTGAGAAGCTCATTTTAAAGATTTCAGGACTTGGCCTTCCAAGTTTGATCTAATTCCAACACTGAAGGCTTTCTTGTATTTCAAAGTTATTGCTAAAAGATGAATTTTATCTCTGTGTGTTAGCTTTGGATTTATTCCATTGGTTTGAATTTCTAAGGTTAAATAAAATCTAGTTTCAGAAATAAAATCAGCTTTCACATTGCCTTGTGTCATCAAAGCTTCTTAAAAATCGGAAGGTAGGCATGCAGATTACAATTAAATCCCAAATAATTGGGTTTCTTGGGATTGTAAGGTGTTTGGGTATCTTAAGGACTTAGATAATGCCAACCCTTGTTTTTTAACCTGTGTTGTTGGAAACATTTCTGTGATGCAATGCTTCTAATCTTTCCCTTGGTGATTCCAGGCTAATGATGGCAGAGCTCTTGTATCTTTGCTCAATTATTATTATCCACAATTGTAGTTGCAACATGTACCCACAATAGAAATATCATGGGAGTACGTGGACTGTTACCTTTAACCCAGATTTCTGATGTGAGCTTTCTTGTGAGTGACTTTTTTCTGGATCATTCATTCAGGAAATATCAACGTACTTATTTTCAGCCGTAGGGTGATTTGGATTCACGGATAATTAGAAAAGTTCTTACTTTTAAGAAGCTTACAATAAGGTAAACAGAGCTATAAACCAATAAATGCAGTGAGAGCAAGAGATCTATAGTCTTTTTTTTTTAATTTATTTTTATTATTTATTTTTGAGAGACAGAGACAGAGTGTGAGCAGGGGAGGGGCAGAGAGAGAGAGACACACACACAGAATCCGAAGCAGGCTCTGGGCTCTGAGCTGTCAGCGCAGAGCCTGATGCGGCACTCAAACCTGCCAACCATGAGATCATGACCTGAGCCGAAGTCGGCTGCTTAACCGATGAGCCACTCAGGTGCCCCAAGAGATCTATAGTCTTATCAGCCAAATTTCAGTTAATTCTAGCAGGCCAAAAATTCAGAGTAAAGTATAGTAAGAAACAATGACCAGAAAAAGTTTAAATTAGATATAATTAGATATAATAGGTTTTATTATTTATTTGATCACTTTCCCTTTGTTATTTATTTATTCATTTTATAATTTATTTATTATTTAATTGCTTTCTGACTTCAGAAGAGACCAGAGTCATGTGCAATAAAGGGCACAAAATAACACAGATTCAAAGATAAAATTTCAGTAAAAACAGGAAAATCCTGATAAAACAAGGCTCAGCTTCCTGAATACAAGATCAAAAGAAGAAACACAATCAAGGAAAAAAAGAGCATGTCATTTCTTCAGAAGAGAGAGACTTACTTCCCAGCATACACTTTTAAGATTTAATTCTGTAAACTAAAAAATATATGTGTTGAACAACATAGTAGGAAACATCTTTGTTGCAAACCATATCTATCCTGATAACAAAATAATTAGAAAATAGTTTAAAACTTTAGAATAGGGAATGCTTTTCTAAACATGATATGAAACCAGGAAATGTTTAAAAACTGATAAATTGAACCACGTAAAACTTTATAATTTTCCACAACGAAAGACCTAGAATTAAGGAGATAGACTGAATGAAAATGCCGCAACAAAGTGTTCGATGAAAATAAACAGGAAAAATAAAACTTAATTAGAAAAACAGGTAGAAGGTGTGAATGGGTAATTCACACAGAAGTACAAAATAGTAGCCATAAACATATGAAAAGATGTTCAAATGCACTAGTAACTAAATACATTAGTTTTTTTTAATGAGATACCATCATTTTTATTTGGATTAGAAAAAATTAGAAAAGTTTATTACAGCCAGCATTAGTAAGAATATGACAAATGAACACTGTGGTAGTATTAATGGAAATATAAATCTGCACTAACTTGTAGAGGACAAATGGTCATGTATGAAAATTTAAATGTGTAATCCAGTGTCTCTACTTCTGGGAACCTCTCTTACAAAAATTCTTGCTTAGGCAGCAATGATTATAATACTAAAAACTTGGAAACAATCTAAATATGCATCAATATGGAGATACTTAAATAAGCTATGATACATCTATTTACTAGACTGTTGTTTCATCTTTCAAAAGAATGATGGGGACACCTGGATGGCTCAGTTGGTTAAGCATCCAACTTCGGGTCAGGTCATGATCTTGTAGTTCAGGTCCCACATTGGGCTCTCTGCTGTCAGCACAGAGTCAGCTTTGGATTCTCTCTCTTCCTCTCTCTGCCCCTCCTCTGACTGCTCTCTCTGTCTCTCAAAATAAATCCATAAACTTCAAAAAAAAAATTTTAAAGAATGAGACAGACCTATATGAGTTATATGGAAAGATGTCCATAATATATTGCTAAAGGATGGAAGCTGCAGA